CCAAAGAAATCATAGTACTAGGGGGAGAGAACACAACTTTGTAGTACCCACAGTCAGTGGCCAGACTTCAATCACTTTTTATTGTACAGCAATGAAACAATGGAACAGACTGCCTGCACATGTCAAAGCCAGTCATAAGAACATAAGAACATAAGAAAGAAGGAACACCGCAACAGGCCTACTGACCCATGCGGAGCATGGGTCAGTAGACCTGTTGCAGTGTTCCTTCGCTTGTGACGTGCCCCCATTCTGATTTCTCTCCATTTATGCAAAGTCTCTGCTGTCTATTTGTCAGCCATGCCTCTACCCAGGAAAAAAATTCTCCTCCTATTCCGTGTGCCTTAAGTTTCCTCAATAGCCTCTGATGTGGAACTCTATCGAAAGCCTTACTGAAGTCCATATACACAATATCATATTCATTACCATGATCTACCTCCTCAAACACCTTAGTGAAAAAAGTTAGTAAATTCGTAAGACAGGAACGCCCCTTTGTAAAATCGTGTTGAGATTCATTAATCAATCTGTGCCTGTCAAGATGGCTACGAATTGCTTCGGCAATTATTGATTCCATAAATTTTCCCACTATGGAGGTGAGGCTTATTGGTCTATAGTTCGAAAGCCAAGGACCTGTCACCTGCCTTGTAAATAGATATTACATTTGCCATTTTCTACTTGTCTGGCACTATGCCAGTTTGTAGTGATATGTTAAAAAGATTAGCCAAAGGTATGCTAAGTTCCTCTTTACATTCCTTTAACATCTTTGCAAACAGTTCATCAGGGCCTGGGGATTTGTTAGGTTTTAGTTTCTCTGTTTGTCTGAGGACCATGTCACTAGTTACCGCAATCGTACATAGTTGATTGTCCTGTTCTACATAATCTATTATTTCAGGAATATCGCTAGTATTTTCCTGGGTGAAAACTGAGAGGAAGTAGGTATTGAGAATTTCACACATATCCTTATCACTGTCAGTGATCTGACCAGAGTTACTCTTAAGTGAGGCAATCTTGTCCCTAATCTTACTTCTGTATACCTGAAAGAACCCATTTGGGTTAGTCTTCGAATCCCTTGCGACCTTAGCCTTATAATCCCTCTTTGCTTTTCTTATTCCTTTCTTTATTTCTCTCTTTAATTGAATATATTGATTTCTTAACTGCCCATCCCATCTTTTGATACGCCTATATATGTCTCTCTTTTGACCAATGAGATGTTTTAATTTATTGTTCATCCATTTGGGATCATTTATGTTAGATCTAATTTCCCTACTTGGAACAAAAGTTGTCTGGGCAGCTAGAACTATGCTCTGAAAAACGTCATATTGGCAACCAAGATCACCTACCTGACCCATAGTCAGGACATCCCAATTTAGCCCACCCAGGTAATTTTTCAGTCCCATGAAATCGGCCAAGCGAAAATCTGGGACAGAGATTTGATTGCAGTTATCTGGGTAATTCCATGATATATTGAAACTAAGTGAATTGTGATCACTTTCCCCAAGCTCATCATTAACCTCAAGATTATTAATTAGCGAATCTTTGTTGGCAAGAACCAAGTCAAGCAGATTGTTTCTTCTAGTTGGTTCTGTCACAACCTGTTCTAAAAAGCAATCCTGAACCGTATCAAGAAAGTCACTGGACTCAAGATTTCCTGTCATATTGTTCCAATCAATTTGTTTAAAGTTAAAATCTCCCATTATCACAACATTTTCATATCTAGACGCCTTATGAATTTCGTCCCATAACAGCTTACTGCACTCCCTATCAAGGTTTGGGGGCCTATAAATCACACCCAAAATTAATTTGCCACGCCCCTCAAGAAACTGTAGCCAAACAGATTCTGTGTTCGATGTTTCTAATCTTATATCATGTCTAAGACAACATGAACCAGTTCAACAAGAGTGCCCAAAGGTACCTAATGAATGTAGCCGCAGAAAGGGAGGACAATGATTTTTTATTTTTTTAGCTAACACACTTGTAAAGATAAATAACTCACTTTACCTTATTCCTAGTATATCTATAGTATGATAATAAGATATTATCACCTTATAGTATAATAATAAGGTATTAAAAGGACCCCAATGGAAATAAGTCACTCTGACTTTTTTGGGTTATCCCAGGTACTTTACACATATGCTGCTATGTATGATAATAGATGTAACTGTATTTGTGTATACCTGAATAAACTTACCCCTCAATGTAAATACACGGAGGGGCGTAGTGTGTGTTTAACGTGTACTCCATGACGAGTGTTCTACATTGACCAACGAGGATTAAGGTACTCTTAACCACTCTATAATACAGTTAACAATGGAAATAAGTCACTTGGACTTTTATGGGTTATCCTAGGTAATCTACACATATGATGCTATGCACGACAGATTATGTGACTATTTATGAGTACGTATACCTGAATAAGCTTACTTATTTACTGAAGACATACAATCAAAGTAAGTTACTTTGTCTGACTTTTCTGGATTATCCTAGGTAATTTATACTATGTTAATTGTATTTATATGTACTTGTGCCTAAACAAACTTACTAAACTAAATGTGAGCAACGAGGATAGGAAGGTGAGGTGAAGAGTCTGTGTCATAGTGCTTGTGTTGGTGACATAGACAGCAGGTTAGACATTATAATATCAAGTAATGGAGTAACCCCATTATCTGCCTCTGCGCTGGTTGAAACGATAACGGGAAATGGAATAGACAGGAATTATTAGTCATGTTCGGTGTAGCTGTAATTCTGATTCTGTGTGAAGTTCGGATCTGTGTTCCTCATCTCACAGGCGAGAAAGATACATGATAATATACACTTAGAAAATCCTAGAGGGACTAGTCCCAAATCTGCACACAGAAATTTATCCCTACGAAAGCAAAATAATAATAATAATAATTTATTATTTCTACAGGCACATGTACAAGGTATACAGGTCTAGCTGACATCAATGATGTAGTACTATACAGAAAGCCGCTTGTTATGCTGTGCTTTTCGGGCAAATTAGATCACTTTTGTCCCAAGATGCGACCCACACCAGTCGACTAATACCCAGGTACATTTTATACTGATGGGTGAACATGGACAACCGGTGTAAGGAAACACGACCGATGTTTCCACCCATTGCCGGGAATCGAACCCGGACCCTCACCGTGTGAAGCGAGAGTTTACGCCACCAGACTCGGCAGGGGGTGCAACATCCCGCGAATGAAAAGCAAAGCTTCATGAGTACACTAAGAGACAACACAGTAAGTGTCAGGGGCCCAAGACCGTTCAACTGCCTCCCAGCATACGTGCGACCAGCAGTAACAGCCTGGTTGATCAGGCCCTGATCCACCGCGAGGCCTGGCCATGGACCGGGCCGCTAGGGCACTGACCCTCGATACACCCTCCAGGTATACTTAAAGCATGTAGCATCCTGCCTTAGCGGGGAGTGGCCAAGCAATGGATGTCCAGGGAAAAATTAGTGTAAATCGCTGACTAGACAAGTGCCACAAGGATCTTGCAATCCCAAACATTGACAGCTGTTGTTGATAGAAGATATGAGTATGTGTAGAGAAAAAAGTATTGCAGCACTGGGGACGGAGGGAGTAAAAATTAGCAAAATATCTTAGGAAAGCATAGGTCAATAAACAGTTAATAATAAAAGCAAAAGAAATTAGTGAGAATGGAGAGAGGCAAGGAAATAACTCTCTTAGTATTGACTATACAAATTGTCAGAGAGCAAGACGCAAAATAGATGAGTTAAGGCTAACTGCATCTTCGGGTACTATAGACGTCACTGTAATAATGGAGATCTAGTTCAACATGAAAAATAGTGACATGCGTGTTGAACGCCACACAGAGGGGTATAAATTATTCCACACAACTAGAGTCACCTATAAAGGAGGTACAGTTGCTATGTATCTTAGGGGAAAGTTTAAACTGCGTCCTCGGAAATATAGAGGCAGGAGGGAGAGATACGGTCAGCATGATAAGCTGATTTTCAAATGTGGTCTACAGTACTCTAAACCTAGATAGTGACGTGAGTAAACCTCTGTGGGACGAAACCACCAAGGAGTCTAGGTACGAAAATGTCGTTTTAAATGGGAGACTTTAACTTTAGCCAGTCTGACAGGATTGTTTTATACAGCAGCTTCAGACAGAGACAACTAGAGGAAATAATCCGCTGGATGTGGCTCTGGCAGAGAAGGATTATTTGATAAATAACCTTGAGATTAGTGAAGAGTGTAGATTGTGGGGATCATATCCCCAGTAAGCAACTCACAGCAGCCGACCATTACTTAGGTATCAGCAGCAGGTGCAAGATGCTTGCTAAAGTACTCCTGTCTCGCCTGTGGATTGAATCCTGGTCCATTTCGTTATGAGCCTAAGGTTCTGCAGTAGGGTGACGTATGGGGTCATCCGATAGTGAAGGATGGGTCAAATGGGGGGTCGAGCATTTGTCACCTACGGAGTCGAGTATGGGTCACCTGGGGGTTAAGCATGGGTCACCTGAGGTGTCGACCATGGGTCACCTGGAAGAGTCGACCATGGGTCACTTAGGGAATCAAACATGGATCACCTGGGAGTTGAGTATGGATCACCTGGGGGTTGAGCATTGATCACCTGGGGGAGTCGAGCATGGGGTCACCTGGGGGATGAGCATGGATACCATGGGTCAAGCATGGGTCACCTGGGGGTCAAGCATGGGTCACCTGGGGGAGTCGAGCATGGGTCACCTAGGGAGTCAAGCATGGATCACCTGGGGGTCAAGCATGGGCCACCTGCGGGTCGAGCATGGGTCAGCTGGTGAGCCCAGCATGAGTCACCTGGAATCAAGCATGGGTCACCTGGGGAAGTCGATCATGGGTCACCTGGGGGTGGAGCATGGGTCACCTGGGGGTCGAGGAGGTACACGGAGCATCTCTCACACTTGAGCAGCTCCCGGGCCTCCGTCATGATCTTGGTAACCAGCCGGTCCAAAGATGTCTGCTCCTCGAAGATACCCGAGCCAGATGCAACAGTAGCTGCGGGAAGAACAAAACAGGTGTGAGAAGGAGGAAGAGGTGTGAAGAGAAAGAACAGGTGTGGGGAGGTACAGGTGTGAGAAGGAGGAACAGTTGTGAGAAGAAGGAAGAACAGGTGTGAAGAGGAGAAACAAGTGTGAGAAGGAGGGACAGGTGTGAGCAGGAACATCAGGTGTTATAAGGAACATCAGGTGTTATAAGGAACATGGGTGTTATAAGGAACATGGGTGTTATAAGGAACATGGGTGTTATAAGGAACATGGGTGTTATAAGGAACATGGGTGTTATAAGGAACATGGGTGTTATAAGAAACATGGGTGTTACAAGAAACATGGGTGTTATAAGAAACATGGGTGTTATAAGAAACATGGGTGTTATAAGGAACATGGGTGTTATAAGAAACATGGGTGTTATAAGGAACGTGGGTGTTATAAGGAACATGGGTGTTATAAGAAACATGGGTGTTATAAGGAACATGGGTGTTATAAGAAACATGGGTGTTATAAGGAACATCAGGTGTTATAAGAAACAAGGGTGTTATAAGGAACGTGGGTGTTATAAGAAACAAGGGTGTTATAAGGAACGTGGGTGTTATAAGGAACATGGGTGTTATAAGGAACATGGGTGTTATAAGGAACATGGGTGTTATAAGGAACATGGGTGTTATAAGGAACATGGGTGTTATAAGGAACATCAGGTGTTATAAGAAACATGGGTGTTATAAGGAACGTGGGTGTTATAAGGAACATGGGTGTTATAAGGAACATGGGTGTTATGAGGAACATGGGTGTTATAAGGAACATGGGTGTTATAAGAAACATGGGTGTTATAAGGAACATGGGTGTTATAAGGAACATCAGGTGTTATAAGAAACATGGGTGTTATAAGGAACATGGGTGTTATAAGGAACATCAGGTGTTATAAGAAACATGGGTGTTATAAGAAACATGGGTGTTATAAAGAACATGGGTGTTATAAGAAACATGGATGTTATAAAGAACATGGGTGTTATAAGGTACATCAGGTGTTATAAGAAACATGGGTGTTATAAGAAACATGGATGTTATAAAGAACATGGGTGTTATAAGGTACATCAGTGTTTAGAAGAAACATGGGTGTTATAAGGAACATGGGTGTTATAAGGAACATCAGGTGTTATAAGAAACATGGGTGTTATAAGGAACGTGGGTGTTATAAGGAACATGGGTGTTATAAGGAACATGGGTGTTATGAGGAACATGGGTGTTATAAGGAACATGGGTGTTATAAGAAACATGGGTGTTATAAGGAACATGGGTGTTATAAGGAACATCAGGTGTTATAAGAAACATGGGTGTTATAAGGAACATGGGTGTTATAAGGAACATCAGGTGTTATAAGAAACATGGGTGTTATAAGAAACATGGGTGTTATAAAGAACATGGGTGTTATAAGAAACATGGATGTTATAAAGAACATGGGTGTTATAAGGTACATCAGGTGTTATAAGAAACATGGGTGTTATAAGAAACATGGATGTTATAAAGAACATGGGTGTTATAAGGTACATCAGGTGTTATAAGAAACATGGGTGTTATAAGGAACATGGGTGTTATAAGGAACATGGGTGTTACAAAAAACGTGATTCTAAAAGCTTAGAGATCTCCAGGTAATACTAGAAAGGACTGCCCTTCTAGCATCCAGCCTGTTACTGGGTTTTCGTAACAAGTAGTCAGTATCCTTGTCCAATTATCCATTAGAATTCAGTATAATTCAATAGTGCTTCAGGATTATAACCGGTAGGCTACTAACTAGATAAATTAAAATTTAATAAATTTATTAAATATCGTCTAGAGGTATATCATATTAAATTAAATCAATCACAGTAATCAAAATAATATTAATCACTTCTCTCGTATACAGTAGTATTGTGCTGAAAGCACATATCACATTTATAATTCTTAAGTACCGTCTGGTACATTAACATTTAATAAGATATTACAAATATGTACAAGTAAGTTTGTGTATGTGTGTAAGTGCTCTAAGTAGTTCGCTATGTCTCAAGACTCGACAAGACTTCAACAAGTGACTGACAAAGTCCTCAAATAAACTAATTTCTTGACCAACTGGCAATCAGAACAGTCTGCTTGAACAGTAAAAAGAATGCTAAGCCCAATAGCAATATAACAAGCAACTGCGACACAGAATCAGGAACAAGGAGATAATATAACGACACTAAGTAGGGACCATCTGCAGATCCTCCACAAAAGTCACAAAACTCCCATACTACTGAATCTAAGTTCAGCATAAGAAAACCCCCGACTGTGATAATACACAGAAACCAGTACAAATTAGGTCAGAAGCTACAGCTCAGGACCTGAGTTGCTAAGAGTGTCTAAGAGACACACAACCTCAGTACAAAGTCGAAAATCACTAAGTCTATACAATGTTCTGTGAACAGAGTTCTACAGAACTAACAAGACAGCTACAGAGACGATCTTCCAACAAGGGCCAATAAGGGAGAATTAGGCACTTCTTGTCAGGAATACGTCCAACCACCAAGAGAGTCTAGACCAGACTGAATACTTCAGGCGAGGTGAGGACACCCCCCCCACCTCGATCACGTGATAGCTCCGTGGACAGCTGCAGCTCAGCAACAGAAGCCGGCAGAGTAACAAGCAAAGAGCGATAATTACAGTAGTTAGACAATCAAGACTTGAACTTTGAGCACATAATATGTTACATCCTACCTAACAACATAACTAAGTCAAATAATAATATAAAGCAATATATTTACGATTTAGCTATTATCGCAAATATAAGCAATATAAAATTATATGAAAATATACATTATATTCATAATCATAATATACATTGCAACCCATTCAGGGGTTGCAACATCCCCCCCCCCAACACGACAAACGGTCGCACTAGGAGTTGTGTTAATGTCTTTTACATTATTACTGATTACTCATATCAATACAAATTAATATATACATTAATCAGAGTCACTCTTGTGCCAAGCACTTCTATAATTTAACAGTGTCTGTTTCGCAATAAGATATGCCCCTAGTACTAGGGCAGTACACAGTATAGTATCTCTGCATTCTCGTGGTTATGTACATCAGTGTAGAGACAGGATAGCGTAGACAAGCATGACACGTTGAGGCTCGATCATAGTAGTGGAAACAGCATAATAGTCTTGTGCTATAGACAGGAGACTGCATTCCACTCTTAAGTAGTGGTTGTGGAATGCTATGCAGTATGGACATCTGAGTATGAAACAGCTTAAGGTGTGTAGTGAGGGGGGGGGTCTGCGGCAGGACAGTGTTGCGCCACACGCAGTACATCCCCCACACAACACTACCCACTCATCACTCAGCTTCTGTCTCCTCCCACACACATAGCATCACTACTGTGAATATATAAATAGATTAATTAGACACGAGTATATATAGTTAATATGGGCTGAAGGGATTAAGTTACTCTACTGAATTTGGCATAGCAAGTAACAAAAGGTATTTGGGCATAAAATTACGTTAATTTAATGTAACTGAAAATTATTAAGGACATGACAGAGCGTCAGCAATTACATTACAATGACCACTTATGTGTTTTATACTAATAGAATAAGGTTGGATTCTGAGAGCCCACCTCATGATCCTAGCATTTTTACTCTTCATAGTGTTAATATAAGTGAGTGGATTGTGGTCTGAAAAAACGTTAATTTAAAATGGGGAAGTGCCCAAATACACGTCAAAATGTTCCAAGGACACCACAAGACCTAGAGCCTCTTTCTCAATAGTGGCATAATTTTTCTGGTGTCGTTTAAGCTTAGTTGAATAGTAACATATAGGATGGAGAATGTCAGTGGATGTTGACTGTTGGAGTAGCACAGCACCCACTGCATAGCCACTCGCATCTATATGTAAAAAGGGAAGATTGAAATTAGGACTCAACACTGGAGCAGAGGAAAGCAGATGCTTCAACCTTTTGAACAAATCTGAACAATCACTAGTCCAGATGAACTGAACTTTGCTACTAGTGAACACAGTGAGAGGTGTAGGTGGAGGTGTGTGCGCCGGCTTGCCTGTCACTTGACACACGTGGTAACGTCGCACATGATCAGCTACTGTTTCTTTCATCTTTGGCCAAGTAAAATGTTTTGTCAGTTTACCGAGTGTCTTCTTGACACCCAAATGTCCTCCAATGGGACTATTGTGAGCAAAATCAATGGCTTGTTCACTAAATGTAACTGGTAACACTACGAGATGATTGACTGTGGTGGAAACATTATCAGCTGACAACTTACATGTATTTTTCTCCATCAGTACACCGTTACTATAATAGTAACAATTATCGAGATCCTTTGCTTCACTTTCAGTAACTGCTATATCTCTGTCTTTCCAGTGACTGATCAACAAACTGATCCTTGATTAAATCATCATGAGTTAGAAATTTAACGTCAGGTGTGTCTTGACTAGGTTGATGACCGGGGGGAGTCAGTGTTAATGATCCTGGGCGCAGAGCGTCACTAAACAACATATTCAACCCCAAATCATCGTCATCAACTAACTCAACAGGAGACAAGAATGGTTGTTGAATCTTTGACATAGCTCTAGTAATTGCGCTGAGAGGAAATAAAATAGGCTTCTCTCTACAAGCTTCAATGGCATAATTATCATCAGTGTTATTATCAATCACAAGTGGTTCTTTACATATACCAGCATGAAGGATATCGTTCCCTATCAACAAGTCCACTGACCTGATGGGAAATACACCACTGGATATACCCACTGAAATATAACCAGTATAATAGCTTGTATCAATGTAAACTTTATGGAGAGGTACTTTTATAACAGCCCCACCATAGGCTTCTAACAATACATCTATCTTGCAATAGGTATCATCAGTTATGGACAGTACATCTTCTCTTAATAACATGAGATAATGGCCAGTGTCTCTTAAAGTAATTATCTCAGATGTGATTCTTCAAATCCTACTTTACCTCTCGAAAAGTA